TCTGAGATTCCAAATCCAAGATCCAAGGCCGCCGGTCTAGAGGGAGACGGGTCGGAAGGTGGGAGCGGGCCTGCTCCTCAGCGCTGGGGACCTGGCTCGCCTTCCCCGGCGGCAGGATTCCYAGGAGGATTCCCGGACACCGCCAGGCGCCCCACCCGCCGGCTGCGAGACAGAGTGCAGGGAAGGCGAGTCGCCACCAGGTGGCAGTGCGTCCGCGGGGACCCCGCCAGGCCCCGGGTCCGCCAGGCCCGGGCCTGGGACTCACTTCCAAATTTGACCCGCAGGGCGATGAGCTCACTGGATCGGAATGGAAGGCCCAGCGGAGCGTGTTTCAGCACCGCGCCTCGCTCGGTGCGCTGTCTTCCTAATTTAGCTTCCCGTACTCTCGCTGGAGCGGTTCCAGGATGCCTCTGGGCCACTCCCCCTGGCGGATGATGGCCTCGCAGCCGAGAGCAGCCCCTGCTCGTCGGGTGTGGACTGGGAACAGCTCCCAGGTCTGGCGGGCCGCAGCGGCACCTGCGGGAAGCTGGCTGCACCCCCGCGCCTGCCGGCACTGCGCGCTCCTCCCCCGGGGTGGTCAGCAGCGAGCTCATTCATCACACGGCCAGCAGAGTCCCAGGGGAGGAGACGCCCAGTGTGCATCACTATTTCAATGCACTTCACGAGGACCTTTTAAAGTCAGGAAGAAGCGTGCCTTTGRAGATGGGGAGATGGGGAGAGAGGGGCACCCCAGAGCAGCTCTGCCGCAGCCTCACCGCGTTCCAGGTGCTGAGGACCACAGCCGGAGGCAGGGGCAGTGAGGCACTGGTTCATCTGCTCTTTAGCGAGTAGACCCTGGGATGACAGGGGTGCTGCTGCTGCGGAGGCACCCAGAGTGGGAGGCCCGTAGCGGAGGCCCCAAGCACCTGGTCTGCCTCTCACGGAGCACTCAGGACCTGAGGCTCAGACTCTCTGGGTGATGCCCAGGCCCTGCTCACTTGGGTCACTGGAGGAGGCGGCCATGGTGAGAGGCGGGGCAACAGGCTTTCCTGAGCCAAGTTCAGAAGGGCAGCTGTCCTCAYTCCAGGGCCTCTCCGCAGCTGCCCTAGCTGCTGCACTTCCTCCTGAAAGACCTTGGGGGAAACTTGCTGGTCCCCGAGCAGGCCGCCCCTCCCCCCAGGCTGTTTGCCACGGGCTTCTCCACTGGGACCTAATAGGACAYGAAAGGAGAGTCGGACTGGGTGCTCAGGAAGGGTCCTCTCTCCCCCGGTGGGGAAAGCTTTTGGAGACGCCAGGGTTAGGTTCCTGGTCTGAGAAGTGCCAACTCGGGGTCTGTCCAACTTGATCAAGTGCCCTGTCCCTTGTGGCTAGCACGTAATGTGTGGCACACATGGTTCCTTAGGTCCACCTCTTCCCTCAGCATCACCACGGAGGCCTCCAGACCTCAGTCCATCTGTCATCTGTCCATGGTGATCGACACATTGCCCCAACCCGGGCTTCTCTCCACACAACCTATTGTCTCACTGTGTCCCGGGCGTCAGCCAGGACAATGCACATGGAGGGTGATGAGGACAGCGCTGGCCCTGCTTGGAGGAGCTGAGAGCTTCACACGGAGAGTCCTTGAGGAAGCAAACACTCCATCCAGTGCCAAGAGGTAGCAGGAAGGACAGCAAGACGTGGACATCCAGGCTGTTGGAGAGAGCAGTTGGGAGGACCCGGCGCCAGGGTCGCCCACCCTGGGCCCAGCCAGGCTCTGAGAGCCATAGCCACGTAGTCCAGCCAGCAGAGGGGCTTCGGCTCCAACATGTGACATCCCGGGAAGCCGGGCTGCGGCTGCCAGGCTCACAGGGCTGTGATCCTCCAGAGCTGCACCCACACTGACGCCTGACACCTGCCTTTGCTATTATTCAGGGTCCTTTCTCTGTGCTCAGTCTTTGAAATATCACCATGAGGTAGGGGTTTGATTACTTTTTCATTCTCATTTGACAAATGAAAACACCAAATCTCTGAGAGGCCAGGTCATGGGTGGGTGAAAGGCCCAGGGCCCATCTCAGCTTAATCTGAAGGTTCTAGGTTCTAAATAATGAGACTCCCCAAGAGTACAGAACTGACCAGAGGGGAGCCTGGCTGTGGGCACTCCTGTGAACAGGGTGCTGCCTGGGTGGACAATCTGCTGAGACTCRTCCTGCAGCAGGGTTGCTTTGAATCTGCAGTGTGGACACCATACAGGTCTGGCCTCAAGGGTCTCACCTGGGCAGGGACTCCTTGAAGAGGAAGAGCAGAGAGGGCTTCCACGGAGGCGGGGCTCAAGAAAGATTCTCACAAAAACTTGAAGAAAAAATTAGGTCATGTTGTTTCCATTGTGTGACCTGCAGCTGGACTAAGACCCGTGCTGCAGGCACTCCTGCCCCTCCAGTCCTGCAGGTACAGCAAGGCCTGGGCTGCTGCCCGGGTCAGGAGGCCGCAGGGGCCTGGAAGGGGGAGGAGACAGGATGGTGGCTGCCGGCAGGACAAGCAAAGGAAGACAGATGCGTGATAAGCGCTGAGGAAGCTGGACAGGCCAGGGCTGGATGGTGGAGTCCCGAAGGGAGCATCAGGGGCACTCACCAACACACTCCAGTGTGCAGAACGACAGACCAACAGAGTCCTGGGAAGGACCCAGAGAGGTCTCTGGGCAGCACCCCAGGTGCTGGACGCCATGTTCAGGGAGGCCTCAGAAACAGCTTAGCTCTCCAGGGCCCTTTTCAGGGGGCGGGGCTAAGCTGGACAAGGTCCCACAGCCCAGCCAAGGAATACCCCCAGGCCTCAGGGTGGTGACAGGAGGCACAACCTACAGAGAAGGTGAGTCCTACCACCCTGGGGCTGCTCAGCTGGGCTCCATGCCCGTCCCTGTCTCCACTCTCTGCAGCTCCCTGTCCTGCTCAGGGCCACCCCTAGACAGGCTGCAGGGAGCTGAGCGAGGCTGGCGAGGCCCACAGCTGGAGTAGGACCATCTGAGCCTTCAGTGGAGCTCCCTGGGGCCATTCGGGCAGGCTGCTGGCTCTCCCCTCCAGCCCTGAGGCTGTCTCTACCCCTGGCACTGCAGAGTCGGCCTTGAACTTCYGAGTCCAGGTGCAGTCCTCTGCAGGCACTGGTCCTCGGGCAGCCTGCACCTGCCCCAGCTCAGGGCCTCTGAGCACTAACCCAGCACAACTCGGATCCAGAGGCACACATTCTCTGACACTGTGATGAGAGCCCCTGTTCCCGGCGCTGGCCTGGCCTGCAGAGACAGGGCAGAGCAGTGACAGAGCCCGTCCTGCTCCTCACACCTCCCACCGCCGCTTCTGTTCTACCTTGTTTTCTTTGCAAGTGAGTAGAAATATCAGCTGGTGTCACACCCATGGTGGGACTTGGGGGAAGGCTGTCCCGTCAGACCCTGGGGTCGAACACCCTGGAGCCTGGAGCCTGGCCACTTGGTCTTGTGGCCGAGGTTCTTTGGGGCTGTTGCACCAGCCCAGGTGCTCAGGAGTCACAGAAAAGAAGCCCTCCTCGTGGCTCGGGGCACTGGAAGCTCAAGGTCGGGGCACTGGAAGCTCAAGGTCGGGGCACTGGCAATCTCCCTGTCTGGTGAGTCCCCATTTCTGGTTCACAGATGGTGGCTCTGCGCCCTCACAGGGTTGGAGGGTGAGGGAGCTCTCTGGGCCCCGTTCCTGAGGACACGCGTCCCAATGGAGGCTCCACCCTCACATCCTGGTCACCCCCTGCAGGCTCCACCTGATGACACCTTGGCCTTGAGGTGAAGGTGCGAATCCAGGGAACACAAACATCCCGCTGTCAGCACTGAGGAGTGAGGGCTTTGTGGATATGTTGATATAGCTGTAAGATACAAGTGTCCTATCAAAAAGACAATGTAGGCCTGCACAGGGAAGAGAGAGTGAGAATGTGCTGATATCTCCCTGGAAAACTTTGTGAGAGGGGGTGTTTAGAAATCCTCATCATACTCATGCAGGCACTGAGAGATCCCATCTTCTGAGACTCCACCGAGTGCCAGGTGGAGAACCGGAGATGCCCCCACACACCGTCACCACACTTACCCACAGGACCACCTGACGTGGCAGACAGGCAAAAATTGAAAATTACCTGTGCATAGATACTGCTACGGATGTATATGGACGTGACATATAAAGTACTGTACTATGAAATGCTTCACCTCACTCTATGTTCAATGCCAAGTGGACCCTGACCAGGAAGCCCATGGAGGAGGGGAGACAAATGGAGGCAGGTGGGAGGAGGCCAGGCCTGAGATGCYCTGGGAGAAGGCTCCACCCAGAGGACACGTTTCCCCCGCAAACACACAGCAAGCAGGGAGCCAGCCAAGGCCCCCATGCCTGTCGATTCCATTGAGACGGGCAGCCATGCCCAGGGCCAGCTGGCCTGCCTCCRGATACAAGCACTTCAGCTGGTGGAAAGTCGGCAGTGGGCAGGTTGGGGCTGCCCAGTGCAGATCAGAAGGTGGCCCTGCTGTTCTGCAGCTGGGCTCTGCCCAGGTGAGCTGTTGGGAAGCGAGAGGGTGGGGCTGAAGTGGGCTGCCCCCCGAGGCTGAGGGCAGGTGCAGAGGTCACGCAGCTGCTGTGTCTGCCTCTGTGTGTTTGACCAAAGGTGAGATTTAACCTTGGTAGGAGTTTGGTGCTTTCTATAATAAAGACCTCTTTTAGACAAGTTACTCAATTCTGAAAGTTCCTCTAAAAGGTGCTCTGTGAGGAGCGCGTGTCCCCTTCTCAGGGGCCCTGCTGGGAGACCTCACTCAGAGGCCACAGTGACCGTGTTTCACAACCACCTAACAGTAGGCGCGAGTCGACCCGGCCAGCACCCTCCCTCGTCCCTGGTTGTACTGGTGATCATCCTCCACAGTGGTCATTTTGTTCTTGAAGACTTGCGGGCAGCCAGGCTGATAAAACCCGGCCATGTGCCTGCCTGCCTGTCTGCACGGCTCGGGCTCCGTGGAGCCCGTGGCTAACGGCCATCTCTTGTCTTGTCCACAGCCTGTCAGGATGCCCGCGGGCGACATCAGCCATGAAGAAGGCCAAGCTGTCTGGAGATCAGATGCTGACCATCAAGCAGCGTGCCAGCAATGGTAACCACATCCGTCCCTCCCTCCCTCTCTCGGCAAAAGCTGGCTTCGTGTCTTACAGCTTTGTGTCCCCTGACTTCACTGGTTGGGACCGCTGACCCCAGGAGCAGAGGTGGTGCCAGCCCCCGGGTCTCTCGCACTGGGCTGCCTGCCTCCTGGGTCCCAGGCTCTGGCTTTCCTGCCTCTACCTCAGRCCCTCCACCCTGAGCCTCCCACCAGAGCAGGCTTGGGGACACTCAGGGCCTGACATCGGTGACACAGCTCTGCCGACACTTCCCCTTCCTCAGCATGCTCATGCCTGATTTCCTTGACTCCAGCTGCAAAATCCATTTCCTTTCAAGTGTTTCTGTTGCTGCTGACCCGCCTCAGTGCACACAGGTTTGCCAAGGAAATCAGAGTTCTCAGGAGGGTGGGGGCGAGAACGGAGCCACACAGCCTGGAGCCCTGGAAAACTCAGATCCCGCCTTGCGCACTTGCCTGCATACAAAATTCATCTTCTGTCTCCATCTCAGTGCTCCTGCAGCCTCCAGGTCTTGTGGGCAYCACAGACCAGAGAAGCAGCCCGTGGCCTGGGGGCAGGTCCCCAGCCCAAGGAAGCAGGACATCCATCCTCCTGTCTCACCCACCCACTGAGAACAGGGCTCCTCTGGTGGCCTTCTCAGTGCCACCCTTCTGTGCCCGGCTTCTCATTGGTGATACTGCTGTGTCAGCTGGCCCCAAATGTTGAGTGGATGAGCTGCCAAGAGCCAGAGGTGGCAGTGRCCCCCGAGGTGCCACATGGGGCAGGAGTTCTAGGGCTGTGGCCTCAGCCTCAGCCAGGACCTAACCATGAACCACATGCCCTAGCCAAGGCRTCTCTAAAAGAGACACACCAACCAGAAACGAGGTGAGCCAGGGTCGGCGGGCCCTCCCGGTGTGCCCTGGACAGTCCATCAGGGCTCACGCCATGTCTCCTGCTGATGATGGGGTCAGCACTCCCAGGGGAAGCTCAGCCTCCCTCTCAGCCTAGGGACGGTGTGGAGAAGGGCTCAGGCAGAGCCGATGGCCATGCAGCCAGCAGAGCAGGGGCCTGGCTCTCTCACAAGATGGCCTCTCTCTGGGTTCTCAAAAGGAGCCCACAGAGCTGGCAAGCACCACAGAAGCCAGGGATCCGCCGAGGCCCCACCGCACCTGGAAACCTGGGGTCCAGATGGCAGCCACCCTCGTGCACACCACAGCCCACATGTCGCCCACAGCAGCACCCCACCCTGCGGGCACAGGCACAGAACATCCCTGATGCATGGCCTGTCACTCACAGAGGCACACCTGGAGGTGGCACGCCCATCCAGCCTCACAGGTCCACTCTGCCCAACGCTGGGCCAGGCGTCAGCAAGATGGAGGCTGTTCAGTCTCTGTCTCCTGGAAGTCCTTAGGTCCACCTGCACGTCTCTCCCGGGGGGCCTGGGGACAGCCTCAGCTTTCCTCTCAGTTCTTCCAGAAGGAACATCCTAGCTCCGTCCTGTGCCTGCACCTGGCTAAACATGAGCCTGCACCTTACCCAACCACCCCAGGGAGGCCAGACCTGAGGCAAGTCTCTGATCTGTGTCAGTCGTTGATGAAGGAAGAGGTAGCAGATGGGGTGAGCCATTCAGAACASAAGAGCAAGACAACTGAGGGACAGATTTGCAGGGAATCTCACACTGGGGGCAGCTCTTGCCTGGGCAGACAGTGGGCAGCCAGCTGCCTGGTCGCCGTCTCTCAGAGCGTCCGCCGGCGGGCTCCTTCTCAGCAGACCTTGCGCTGCCAGTCCGGCTGCGCTTGCATTTCCAGCAGCACTCCTCTGCACTGGGCATTCTTATCTTACAACATGTTTTTCACTCACTGAACGCGACACCCAAGGCCACCCAGTGACCCACCTCCTTCTTCCCTCCTGGTCTGCCGTGTCTCCATGAAGGACAGCAGTCTCTGCCGTGTGCTGGGTAGCTTCAGGTCTGTCCACAGAACTTGCACACACATCATCCGTGAGGAGCCTGCCCTGAGAAAGGTCCCTCCTGGGGACAGAGGACTGGCCAGTGGCAGCTGAACCCCAGGCCCTGGGTTTTGAGTGACGGCCCCTGTGGCATTTCTGCTCTCCCTCTCTGTGTGTCCTCGACCATGAGACCCCAATGCCAGAAGCACCAGAGATCCCCTTCCTTTTGACCTTGGCACCAAGGGTGCCTGCAGCAGAAGCCGCCTGGGAGGGAAGCGGCCCAGAAATCCCTGTCTGTCTGCTTGCTTGGTTGGGTCCTGGGGGTTGAACCCARGGGCACTGGACTACTGAGGCCCTCCTCAGGCTTTTTACTTTCTATTTTGAGACCGGGTGTCTCTGAGATGCTGAGGCTGGCCTAGAGCTTGCCATCCTCTTGCCTCAGCCTCTGGAGTCGCTGGGATTGCAGGCGTGTGCCCCCACACCAAGCCATGGATACACCAGGCCTGAAGTGCTCAGCCGGCTTGGGTCTCACACAGGCTGTCCTCTGCAGCAGGACTCTGACTCAAGGGTCAGGCACAGCCTTGCCTGGACTCTGGGCATGGAGAGGGAGGGGCTCTCTCCATTCCTTCCTGTGCATGTGCCCCTGAGGCCTGGGAGTGGCTGCCTCCCAGGTGACTGAGGAGGCAGGAAGCAGGAGCTGACAGGTGCCCGAGGGGATGGAGCCGGGGAGTCAGCAGCAGCGCAGGTGACCTGGGCAGGTGAAAGGACTCTGGCCCAGTCCTTCCGGGCCTAGGAGTTTCCRCACACTCAGGCAGTGTTCCCCTCTTCTGCTCAGGTGTCCTGTTGGAGGAGAGGTGGGGGCAGGAGCAGAAAGACATGTCCATGGTGACTATTTTTCTTTATATGAGTATAGACATCACTATGCCAGGCACCCCTGAATATTTCCCAAGCAAATTCAATTCCTAATATAAAAAAAGAACAAAGAAATCTCTCAAAATCCTGACTAATGTTCCTGGTACGGCAGTTTGGACACGCTGATTTTGCCATTGCAGGAATAGAAAATGACGAGGAGATCAAGCAGTTGGATGAAGAAATCAAGGAGCTGAACGAGTCCAATTCCCAGATGGAGGCAGACATGCTCAAGCTCAGGACTCAGGTAACGGTTTCTGAAGCCTCCGTCCCCTCCAAGGAGTGACCTGGGCAGGGCCCCTCTTCAGGGGCAGCTGACCTCGCTGCTTTTCTGCCTGCATTCCTTCTCGTCCACCTTGTGTCCTGGTCTCCTGCTGGACTCCTCTCATGGCGCTGTTTGCTGTGACCCAGTGGCCATGACGGTCCCCTTTCTGTGTGTGTGTGTGTGTGTGTGTGTGTGTGTGTGTGTGGCAGGGTGCCCTCCTGAGTGTCCTTTCCCAGAAGGCCACCTGCTAGAGCAAAGGCCAGGGTTTCCTCCAGCTGTTCCAAGCCCTGACCTAGGTCACACCTGCGTGGCAGGGGGACAGCAGGACTCCAGGACTGGTGAGAGCCGCCTGTGCGTGCAGATCCCGGCCATCTACCGGGCAGGGGTGGGTGGGTCTGAGCACCTGCGAGTGAGCTGGTGAGGAGACTGCCCGTCCCTCCTGACACTGGCCAGCCTGGTGGTCTTCCACCTGTGGACACACTGCCCGCTTATCATCAGTCCTCATCAGACGCTGCTCCCCTGGGGCCCTCCACACACTCTTGAGCCACATGATGGCACCGAGTTGCAACAAGCCAGACCAGGTGTGCGATCCGCCAGACGGTGGAGGGGACCATCACTCCTTGACGTCCCTGCTGCCACCAGGAGTGGACAGGGGTCATGACCCCGTGCTGGGGCTCCTCCCAAGTCACTGGGGTCCTGCTCAGGGAGGGCTGAGATTTAAATCAGTCAAAGAACAGAGCAGGGAGGGAAGAGGGATCTATGACAGCATTTCTGAATTTCAGACGACTTCCCAGGGCGAGAAGAACTCTCCCCGCCACTCTCCATAGAAGGTGCAGGGGCACCAGCTGCACGCGTGCTTAACATTGCCAATAGTGCCATGCCACAGGTTGGCTGAGTTATAAAGAAAAGAGGTTTATTTTAACTTGCCAGGAACAGGGACTGCCTCTGGGGATGGATTCTTGCTGGCAGAGTCCAAGGAAGGTGCAAGGTATCACACAGGAGGGACAGGGAGCAGGCATGTGCATGAGTGTGTAAGCGTGTGCATGTGTAGGTTTGTGTCTGTGTGAGGTGTGCGGGCACACGTGAGCTCCTTCTGGCCTCTCTCCTTATAAAATCACCAGGACTCAATCAGAGGGCCACACTCTGGTGACCTTCTAATCCTGATCAGATCCCAAAGGCCACACCTCTACACCGGCAGCGGGATTCTGTCTACACCTCATCAGGCCTCGAGATGGGGATGGAGTTTCCACTAGTGAAGCCTGAGTCACGGGGCCACTTCCAAACCCCAGCACACCCGTACCCCGAGGGTTCTTATCAGTTGCCACAGGCCTGCTGTTTGCTGTCCAGCTGAAGAATCCAGACTCAGGGCAAGCACACCTTTGTGTGTTGAGCAGATGTGCACACCACTTTGGAATGTTTGAGTAGTGTTTGGGGTCAAGTGCAGCCCAGACAATGCCTGTGTACCCCCAAACCTACACCTTCTCATGCTCTGCACTCCAGTGAGAAGGGGTCTGTTCTGGGCCCTTGAGTCCCCACTCAGGTCACAAGTCCTAAAAGCCATCCTACCACCT